ATACATTATATACACTAGTGTTAAATAATTGATTTTTTTTTTTCGCCAGGTTCAAGAAGTTTGGAGGCACTACTTTGAAAATAACGATTTTGGGTCGCTTTGAAAATAACGATTTTGGGTCAATATCAATTGATTTGAAGAAGTGGTTTTGCTGGATTTGTAGAGAAAACGATTGAATCTTTGTATCTAAAATCTTCGTTTTGATTAAGTAAGTTCTTCAGATCTGATTGTTGTCAAAACTGAGTTTTATTCAATTGAATTGGGATTGTGTCATTTATTTAAGAAAGTTTTTGTAATTTTTAAGTTTATTTTAGTTCTAAAATTCTTTGGACTTTCAAGATTTTTAATGTTCCCATTAGATCTTTCGAAATATATGTAGGAATTAAGCATCTTTCTTATTGTATGATTGTAAGTTCTAATGGTTTAAGATGGATCTTAGAGGAATAAAACTTGAAATTTTCATATTTTAATTGCTTTATTCAGATAATTTTCTCTTTTAGCTCTTTAAGTTATGACCATTAGTTCTCTGCATATGTAGGATACGCATTTGTTGGAATGATTATATAGTTCATTAACGTTAAATCTCAGTCTATCGATAATCTATCACTGAATTTGGTTGCTGTTTATTGATTTCTAAAATTATGCTGTTCTTGATCTTCACATTATTCCTTCACAATTTTCTTCATGTAAGAGTTTGGTTTGATCTTTGTTGGTCTGGAACCGCAATGCTGCAACTTTTAACCCTTTGCGACTTAAAATGATTCAACAGCATAATAGGCAAGAATTGAACTTCTTTTTCTAATTATCTATTGCCCAGTTCTAGTCAAATTATGAATAATTTCAGTTACATTTTAGTTCAAGTATTGATATACTCATTTGAAGGTCCTAAAATCATTTTTCTCCATTTCAGATGTGCTTTTTTCAAGAATGCATGGGATTTTAGCTCACGTGGAATCGAGTGAGGGTAAATATGGATCTTCAGGCAGACAGTTCTAGATTTGGATCGTTACCCAATACGACATTGAGGAATCTCTCGTCATCCTCTTCTGCATTTTTTTCGGCAAATCAATCGCCCTTCTTCTCCCCAAGATCGCCAACTGGTCGGTTATCCACACATTCCAACAATCCATGTCATGGTGCCGGTACAAATACGTTATCGGAGACTCCAGAAGTGGAATCTTTAATAAACATCAGATTTGCCTCAAATGATATTTGTCCTGCATCTGCAGCTTGTACCTCGAATGATTTCAGAAAGGTCGATCATGTTTCCACTTCAACAGGAATATCAAATAGTCCTTTATCGAGTTATAGTATTAGTCATGATGGTTTCACAAGAAATAGGTGTAAAAGCAAAAAGATTGGGCGATTGTTTGAAACTATGGTTCCTCCAACTTCTTTTTCTTCTAATAGACTCAGGAGTTGCGACGTATACATAGGTTTCCATGGCCGCAAACCTTTATTACTTAAGTTCACTAATTGGCTTCGAACAGAGTTAGAAGTTCAAGGGCTGAGTTGTTTTGTATCAGACAGAGCTCGGTGTACAAATTCGAGAAAGCATAGCATTGTTGAGAAGGCAATGGATGGTAGTACATTTGGGGTTGTCATCTTGACAAGAAAGTCATTCAGAAATCCATACACCATTGAAGAGCTCCTGTTCTTCTCGGGCAAGAAGAATTTGGTTCCTGTATATTTTGATTTGGGTCCATCTGACTGCCTTGCGAGAGATATAACTGAGAAACGGGGAGAGCTGTGGGAAAAACATGGTGGTGAGCTCTGGCTGCTTTACGGAGGACTCGAGAAAGAATGGAAAGATGCTGTTAGCACCCTTTCTCGTGTTGATGAGTGGAAACTAGAGGCTCATGAAGGTAAATGGAGGGACTGCATATTGAGAGCTGTCACTCTTTTGGCATTCAGGTTAGGAAGGAGAAGTATTGTAGATAGAGTAACTAAGTGGAGAGAGAAGGCCGAGCAAGAGGAGTTCCCTTTCCCTCGAAATGAGAATTTCGTTGGTCGGAAAAAGGAGTTATCTGAGCTGGAATTCATGCTTTTTGGTGATGTCAGCGGAGAAGCAGAGAGAGACTATTTTGAACTGAAGGCAAAACCAAAACGAAAGAACTTGACAATTGGTTGGAGTAGGAGTAATTCAGTGGATGAAAAGCGAAGGAACCGATACAGTGAAAGTAGCAAGAGAAAGGGGAAAGAACCAATTGTATGGAAGGAATCAGAAAAGGAAATTGAAATGCAAAGCACTGAATTTTCTCAACATACTCCAAAGCTAAAGAGTACTGGAAAGAACGAAAGGAGATTGAGATCGACCAAAGTTGTGTATGGCAAGGGAATTGCTTGTGTGTCAGGAGACTCGGGCATTGGGAAGACAGAGCTACTTCTCGAGTTTGCTTACAGATTCCATCAAAGGTATAAAATGGTTCTATGGATAGGAGGGGAAAGCAGATACATTCGGCAGAATTATTTAAACCTTTGGTCATTCTTAGAAGTCGACGTAGGGGTGGAGAATTGCATGGAAAAAAGCCGGACAAAGAGCTTTGAAGAACAAGAAGAGGAAGCCATAGCCAGAGTTCGAAAGGAGCTCATGCGAAATATTCCTTTTCTGGTGGTGATTGATAATTTAGAGAGTGAGAAGGACTGGTGGGACCACAAACTCATAATGGATCTACTTCCCCGTTTTGGTGGGGAAACCCATGTTATTATATCCACACGACTCTCTCGTGTAATGAACCTCGAGCCATTGAGACTTTCTTACCTGTCAGAGGTAGAGGCAATGTCTTTAATGCAGGGATGCGTTAAGGATCTCTCAATTACAGAAATCGATGCACTACGGTCTATCGAGGATAAGCTTGGGCGGTTAACTCTTGGACTTGCTATTGTGGGAGCAATACTGTCCGAGCTTCCTATAAATCCAAGCAGGCTATTGGATGCCATAAATCGAATATCGTCAAGGGACACGACAAGGAATGGTAGGGAAAATCAATTGCTGCGGAGGAATAATTTCCTTTTACAACTCTTTGAGGTTTGTTTTTCCATATTTGACCATGCGGACGGACCAAGGAGTTTGGCCACTAGAATGGTCCTGGCAAGCGGTTGGTTTGCACCTGCGCCGATTCCGGTATCTATCTTAGCACTGGCGGCTAATAAAATACCCGAGAAACACCAACGTCGCCGGTTATGGAAAAAGATTCTGCATTCCTTAACTTGTGGCTTCAGATCATCATATGCTCGAAGATCAGAGGCAGAAGCATCTTCATTATTAATAAGATTTAATATCGGACGAACTTGTACGAGGGAAGGTTACATCCAATTCAACCAGCTTGTCAAACTTTACGCAAGGAAGAGAGGAACCACTGGAGTTGCGCAAGCCATGGCACGTGCTGTCATTAGTCAAGGATCAATATCCCATCACTCTGAACATATATGGGCAGCATGTTTCCTGCTTTTCGGTTTTGGAAAAGACCCTGTAGTAGTCGAGCTTAACGTGACAGAATTATTGTTTCTTGTGAAAGAAGTAATCTTGCCACTTGGCATTAGGACATTTGTTGCCTTCTCGAGATGCAGTGCGGCTTTAGAACTCCTTCGACTATGTACAGATGCATTAGAAGCCGCAGATCAAGCTTTCGTCACCCCAGTCGAGAAATGGTTGGATAAGTCACTTTGTTGGAAACCTATCCAAACCAGCGCCCAACTGAATCCCTGCCTTTGGCAGAACCTTGCATTGGCACGAGCTACCGTGTTGGAAGTCCGTGCGAAGCTAATGCTACGAGGGGGACAGTTTGATATAGGAGACGATCTCATTAGGAAGGCTATTTTTATTCGAACTTCAATATGCGGTGAAAATCATCCCGACACGATATCTGCTCGGGAAACCCTTAGTAAACTTACAAGACTCCTTGCTAATGTTCAAAGTCATACATCACCATAGATTTTAAATTTCTTGTAAACAGTAAATTCTTTTTTTTTACGGAATTTCACAGATGCTTTATCTATTCCAGAATTTATTTTCCTTGCAGAGGTCATTTGATTTATAATGTTGGTCCATTCAATTCATTACTTCCTATGTCTGAACCTGAGACACTGATGATTAAAGATTTCTTGGCTTGGATTGTTACTTTCTACATCAGAACCAAGGAACTTGTTTGGTAAATAGTACAATTGACATATTTTAACTTTCTTTAGAGATAATATATCCCTTTAGTACTTCCTCTAGTGTGTACTGATCTTGACGATGATAATTGTTATCATTGTGAAGGAAGAAATTTACCATTGGAACCATTGGGAGGTCTCTCATGCCATCTGTAACAGAGTTCATAAATATTTGTAGCTGACATCCATAGCAGCACATTTTCAATTGAGTGACTTCATAAAACCAGTAGTAATCTTCAGATCATGTGTTTGCTATGAGGGTCATCATCTTTTTAGTTTTTGCTTTGGTACCATTTTTCTAAATCACAAACACATTCGATATACCTTACACCTTGTAAGAGGGGAACCCAAAAGGTTACAAGTCACAAAGCATGATATAATTAGGGCCATTATATGTTGATACCATTTCAAGAACAGTCATGCATGAAGTTTTTATGTTTATTGAATGTAATTAGAGTAATCACATGCGAATACGTGCATGAGTTTAACTACAAGTGTATATTTTATCGTTCTGTTTGATTCATCTATCAAAAGATGAACGAGGATCAATGCACATGGATGACCATGTAAATACTTACTATCACTATGGATCATGTGAATACATACAAGGATTTTCCCATTTTATTATTTCACAATATATCTAGATCAGAGTCATCAATTTCTAACTTTATATGTGTGTAGAATTGTCTGTAAAAAGGGTGTGTGACATTGAGTCTGACTACCAACGTACGTTTTAAAATACATAATCTATCTTCGAAACCTTCTGCTCCAAATGCATTTTAACATCAATGCTTCCAAACATTTGATGTATTTATATCCCAAATTGTTGGGGCAACAAACCAATAGTAGTTCTAAAGACATTCAACCAAATTCCCAACAGGCACATCAAACAACACTAAGCATGAGCGCTCGTGACAAAGATGGCTACAAACCAAAAAGTGTTTTTATGAACAAAGGATTATGTTACATGAAAAAAAGAAAAAAGAAAAAAACCAAGTTTGGTGACCTCTCTGCAGTTGATTGTCTATGTATATTACACAATTAACTAAAGTCGAAACTCAATAGTCCGATACTATTTTCCCGTATGTGACCGCAAAATTTAGCTTGTTCTCGGCGAAAGCATTACGGATCGTCTGGGATTAGGTAAGACGGCCACATCCACCACCAAATCGCCACATCTTCCATCTCTATTATTTGTTATTGGAGAAGCCGATCATTTTCAGTAGTAGTGAATGCTGCATCTGTAAATATAGAAGCTTAATGTTATGCATAAACTGCAGAAAAAGCATGAACCTCAGTCATATACTACGCCAAATCAGCAGATTCGTTATTCTGTGTGCATGTAAGTAACTTCCAGCCAGGAACCGTAACTGCTTGACACCCAAAACTATCGCCTACGGATCCACACCCCTTTTCATCATCATCACTGTTAATATCATTTGGCGTTGCCCGGTTTTGGTAGCTTCTACGCTGGACGAGGAAAACATTGAAGTAGTAGCTAACCAATTTCTCCAGAGTCTTGGTAGGTAAAAATCGGGAAGCATTGTTCCAGAACTTATTTCGGACAGAAGCATGTGCGCTTTTTGCATCCTTGAATCTCTTTTCCTCTTCTTTTGTCCATGAAAGTGAAACCTCCTCCCCCATGCGATCAAATCGCCAATGGTAGAACAGAGAACCGAGTTCGTGCTTTAACTTAAACCTCTTCTCAGCAATGTGAAACCTAACACATTCAACAGAATGTGGAAATCGACAATAACATTTATGCTGTCTTCCCATTGTAAAAGGATCCGATTCATCAATGGATTTGATTCTACCATCTTCTGGGGACCACATTTTTGTTCCTAACCACTTAGAATCACTGTTGAGGGGAAAACCAGTCCATTCAGGGACTCCGGCTTGAAAGAGAGGGCCCACAGAAACTTGCTTCTCTGCTGGCATGCCACAGGAATTGGGACCTTGTGGATCTAGAGGCGGTATCTCAATAGAGACCACCACAGATTCTTTTGTGCCATTCCTGACTCCTACCATTTGACCGTTAACAACTTTACTTTTAGTGACCGTGGGTGCATTGCAACATGAACACAAGAGAGATTTTGTTAAAGAAGCTCTTTTACTGCATCTTACTTTCTCTGAAGCTTGGCGGTCGAGATTGTCTTCTTCATACATAGAAGGATGCATCCTAAGCTTCTTCTGTTGGCCCTGCTGACGTCATGATAAGTTCAATAATAACTTTAAGGAAGATGCATTTCAAATAATTCATGAATCAAATGGAACTGGTGATAATAGAATAAAAAAACTACAGTATTCAGAAAGATCACTCGAAGAACTGTTCACAACAACTCTTATATTTTTAGCTTCCTAATAGCTGCACAAAATTGACAATTTATATAATTTATGTCTAAACAGAGAAATTCCAATTTCATGCGAACATTGACTTTGTATTGTCTAAACTTTTTAATCGTGATTCGAAGACTTGTCTTCCGTTTTGCAGAAGAACTTACTAGGCCACTGTTAAAATGTTTCCCTCTTTTGCAAAGTTTAGAGGAGAAAAAAATATAATTTTCATGTAATGCTTCAAAAAACTCCCTGCAAACCACAACTAGTTTGGTTGACTAAGAAGGGCTAGGTGCACTTGAATGTCAGTGAGTTAATTGTCTAATTGTGGCATCATTTATATTCTTACAACTTTCACATGTGCACCTTAACTGGATACTTTATCATAGGTACTGCAATAAGCAGCGAAATTTTCCGAAGCAAAATTTTCACTCATCGCATTCTAACTAGGGACATCTCCATATGTTTAAGAGTTAATGCAACACAAGTATACATACATACAAACACACAAAACAAGCCCACCGTCAAGTGGCTTAACTTCTTTGCCTGGGGATAAGAGCCATGCATAACTTCACAAACTAACCGGGAAAATGATCAGGTAGGAATCCTCATGAGAATCATTACAGTTGAATCTCAGTTGATGGATTCAATCTTCACTCAGTAATCAGTCAATCTGTCCAAGTGATTTGTAAACCCTCGAGTGGAAAGTTATTGACTCATATATATATATATATATATAAATCACTGCTGCAACCTACTTGACATTTCCCTTTCCCTTAAAATCAAGAATTTCAAACCTCTTTGAAAGCCTTCAACAAATATATCCCAAAATTTAACTCTTAACGCTTCTCTTTGCTGGTGTGACCTCTGCTCACAATGCAATCATCTTAGAAATTCTTTCTCATCTGATATCACTTTCTTATAAAACAACTCATTTATTCCCAAACTTTTCTTGAAGAGAATGCAAAGTAGTACAGTTCTGGGAAACCTTTTCACTTCATATAGTTTAAAATGAGTTATTTTTTCCAGAGCCCATCCAGTCACTTTCTAATTCTTCAGTGCTATTTACCATAGTCAAAAGAGACACGCTGAGATCTAGGTATGTTTTGGGCGGCCTAAAAAAAGGGGAAAGGTAATGCTCGTCATCCTCCTCCTACACAAGTCCATGACTCAAATTCCAAGGTAATGGAATCAACAAGTACTCTTCATCCTAGTTATTTTTGTAAGGTTAGTTGATCTTTGATTTATCCACTGATCTTAGAAAAGTGAACAGTACACTTGTCATCCTATCTCAAAATGCCTATCTTACAATAGATTATCAACTTCTCATAGAGCCTTTATCTCTCACCTATCAAGTGTGTAAATTATCAAATTTGTGCAGGAAGATCTAAAAATAGTAAAATACCAGCATGGACAGATGAATTCCTAAAATAGACCAACCAAGGGGGAAGACTTACAGGGTTGCGAAGGGGTATTTACTTTCAATCACAAGGCTGATGGATAGTTGATATATATAAGCGAGACTCAGTTGAAAAACTGAACACCTAGATTCCTGGTATTGACTCCCATGAAGCTTTGTAACCGTGGAAAGAATGAACAGAAATTAGAATGTAGTTGATGTAGGATGGTTGAGAATTTCAGAACTTAAAGAAGAGGTAAGAAGGGAGGGAGAAACCAGAGAGGAGAGAGAAGATAGGGGAGGAAGGAAACGTCTAGTAGCAAACCACAATTCAATTCATCAATTCATTAACTGTCCCAAGTAAACAACAAAACAGATATAAATAGCAAACAAAATCCTAAAGATAAAGGACTTGGGCCAAACTCATTATACAAGCCCAATTACGTAAATAAGATTCCAAAACATAAATAAAGGTCTAACAAGAAAAATAAATAAAATGGATGTCTGCATCAGCAGTGCTACTTGCATTTGCAGCCAATTTGGCTGTCTCTCCACCAACTTGATGTTAAGAATGCAACTTGAAGAAGAAGTGTACATGGAATTGCCACTAGGTGTTGAGAAGATACGTGGAAGTCAGAAAACACATTGACTTAAAAAAATATTTTTACGGTTTATTTAGTGCCTGGCTTCAAAGCTCAAGATTCATAAAGCCAACTTGATCGCAGTATGTCCTCCAAGAACATAGCGAGGGTAGGATCACTATCCTCATAGTATAAGTCGATGCTAGTATCTTGACTAGGAACAGTGAAGTGGACAAGAGAACACAAGAAAGTAGTTGCTAAAGAGTTTGGGATAAAAGACCTCGCCCCTTGAAACGCTTTCTATGTATAGAGGTCACTTTGTTCAGCAAAGAATTGCAATTATGAAAAAACAAAAAAATGTGAATTAGGGCAAAATGGAGAAGTGAAGATGATTCTTATTATTCCACACATACGAGACCGCATATAAATACTGTACAAAACCGGAAAAATAAGGTAACTACCTAAGTAAGGAAAAAATAAGGTTGCGGTTGGTTTGGCGTTTTTGGGCCATTTTTTATTTTTCGTTTTCGAAAACGAAAAACGCGTTTGGTCCGTCGTTTTCGAAAATGCATTTTCGAAAACGAGTTAAAATTTGTAACTGAAAACGAAAAACAACTTTTTATCATTTTGAGCGTTTTCATAGATCCCCAAAATGTGGAAAAAGCCCAAAACGCGCTGTTTTTGGGAAAAACTAAAAACGTTTTGAAACCGAAAATGAAAAATGAAAAACTAAACCAACCGCACCCTAAAATTTCCTAATCTAAATATGGTTATACAATAATAAATCAACACAATCAATCCCACAATAATTACGGGATTTCTACACTCCCCTTTAAGTTGGATCATATATGTTAATCATGTCCAACTTGTAGATGAAATCCTCGAAGTTTTGTCGCGGTAGTCCCTTGGTGAAAATAGCTGCAATTTGTTCTTTGGTAGGCACATAGGTCATGCATATAATCCCATTTTCAACTCTCTTTAATGAAGTGTCTGTCTACCTCCACGTGTTTGGTTCGATCATGTTGGACTGAATTGAGTGAAATGTTAATGGCTACTTTGTTGTCACAATAGAGTTTGATAAGAAGCCTTGCCATAACCTGTAATTCATTCAATAATATCATTATCCATAGTCCTTCGCATATTCCCTATGCTACCACTCTAAATTCGGCTTCGGCACTGCTCCTGGCTACCACATTCTGCTTCTTCTCCAAGTTCCCCCAGACGAAAATGCAATAACCAGTAGTTGATTTCCTGTCTTCTCATGAACCAGCCCAATCTGCATCTGTGAAAATTTCTACTTTTGTTCTTTCATTTTTCTTAAAGAATAATCCTTTCCCGGGGGTACCTTTGAGATATCGAAGAATTCTGTATACTGCTTCTAAGTGAGCTTCTCTTAGGGAGTGCATGTGTTGGCTAACCATACAGCGAATGCAATATCAAGTCTAGTGTGAGAGAGATAAATTAATTTTCCCACTAGTCGCTGATATCTCTCCTTTTCAATTGGCTTTCTTGTGTCTTCATCACTTCTTCCTATCTCCATTGGTGTATCACTTGGTTTACACCCAAGCATCCCTGTCTCAGATAGAAGATCAAGTATGTACTTCTGTTGTGAAACGCTAATCCCTTTTTTTGATCTTGCCACTTCCATACCTAGGAAGTATCGCATCTGACCCAAATCTTTTACTTTAAATTCTGTAGCTAGACTTTTTTTAAGCCTCTCGATTTCTTCTATATTATCCCCAATCAGTGTAATGTCATCAACATATACGATCAAGATTGTTTTTCTCCCAATTTTAGATAGCTGGTAGAACATCGTGTGATCTAATTATCCTTGTTGATATCCTTGACTTCTCAACACATTTGCAAATCTGTCGAACCATGCACTTGATGATTGTTTGAGGCGATACAGTGATTTTTTGATTTTGCACACCCTATTTCCTTCACCATTATTACAGAAACTAGGGAGTAGTGTCATGAAGATTTCTTCCTCGAATTTTCCATTCAAGAATGCATTCTTAATGTCAAACTGTTGGAGAGGCCAATCCAAGTTGGCTGCTATGGACAAGATAACTCGGATAGTATTCAATTTTGCTACGAGGGCAAAAGTTTTTGTGTAATCAATGCATAAGTCTGCGTATATCCTTTTGCCACAAGTCGAGTTTTATACCGTTCTATTGTCCCATCACCTTTATCCTTTACATTGAAAACCCATTTGCATCCAACAGGTTTTTTTCCTCTTGGTAATTCTACCACATCCCAAGTTTTATTTTTCTCCAAAGCTTGTATTTCTTCCAAAACGGCTTCTTTCCATTTTGAAATAGTCGTAGCCTCCTGAATGCTCTTTGGAATTTTAGTACTGTCAAGGCTATAAGAGAAATTACGAAATCTTGTAGATAGGTTGGTATATGAGACAAATTTTGGGATAGGATGGAGAGTACATGACCGGGGCTGTTTTCCGAGAGCGATGGGTAGGTCAATTTCTGAGAGCTCATTATGTGACTGAGTTTCATTTGGATTTGGAGCTATCATCAAGTCCAACTCTCTTGGTGCTTCAGATGTAAGGTTCTCTTTGTACGTTGATTTTGGCCTCCTTGAATAAACGAAAATCTCCTTATTGACTTGTTTTTTAGGATCTCCCCGAGTTTAAGCTACCCTTTGCAAATGACATATTAGAATCATGAGAGATGATTGGATCTCCCTCTGAGTTTAAGCTACCCTTTGCAAATGACATGTTAGAATCATGAGAGATGATTGGTTTAGTAATGTTAAGAGTAAAATCTAGGAGTTGATCCGAGTTCTCGAGCCGATCTTCACTCAACTTCTCCCCCTGAAGAGAGGGTTTTTGAAAGTATGGAGTTTTTTTGAAGAATGTGACTTCTTTGCTCACCAAAACCTTTTTTGTGGATGAATCATAGCATTTGTAGCCCTTTTGGGTAACAGAATATCCAATGAGAACATATTTAAGTGCACGAGGATCGAGTTTTCCCCATTGATGTGGGTGTACATGGACAAAGGCTGTACACCCGAATACACGAAGGGGTAGATTTGAATTAAGACGGGAACTTGGAAAATATTCTTGAAGTATTTGGAGAGGAAATTTGAATGAGAGGACTCTGCTAGGCAGTTTGTTTATGAGATATGCCGATGTTAAGATTGCATCTCCTCAAAAATATTTCGGCATATTTGTGGTGAACATTAAGGCACGGGCTACCTCAAGGAGGCGTCTATTTTTTCATTCAGCGATCCCATTTTGTTGAGGGGTATTGACACAAAAACTTTGATTAATTATACCTTGTTTTCTAAAAAATTCTTTCAAGGTAGTATTAAAATATTCTGTGCCATTGTCAGTTCGCAAGATTTGTATTGGTGTATGAAATTGTGTTTTGATCATGGAATGAAAGTTAACGAATATAGTTTGGACATCAGATTTTTCTTTTAGCAAGTAAATCCAACACAATCTAGTATGATCATCTACAAATGTTACGAACCATTTTTTGTGAGTTTGACCCGGGATGCGTGATGGTCCCCATAAATCACTATGAATTAAGGTAAATGGTTTAGACGGTTTGTACATAGATTGTGGGAAGGGATGACGATGATGATTCGCTAGTGCACAATTTTCACATTGGAAATCAATGATTCTTTTATTTGGAAACAATGAAGGAAACATATGATATAAATATTGGAAATTGGGATGACCCATTCTAAAATGCCGTAAAAAAGGTTCACTATCATTCGAAGAAGAGACAGAATCACAAGTTGCAATTTGATTTTGTTTACTCACATTAGCCTCCTCAAATTCAAATATTTCCTTTCCCTGCTATTGGTGACAGTGAACCATCGGCAATTTTAACTTTAATATTACCAGCACAAGTAGAATATGTTGAAAAAAGGTGATAAGAATCCATTATGTGATCAGACGCACCTGAGTCAATAATCCAGGGAGCTTTGGAGTGTGGAGAGATGTGTAAGGCAGTTAAGGGGTTGCCTTTCTTTGCTAGAGAACTTGATGGATTAGGTGAATGAAATTCTGAGAACATTTTGTATAGTTGCTCTAATTGCTGAGGATTGAACGCTGCTTTTTGAGTAGAATTTTGTTTTTCTTCCAATTGGATCAATACAAGCTTGGTATCCACGATTTCTATTATTGTGTCTTGGTTTCCAATCAGTTGGCTTTCCATGTATCTCCCAACAAGTATCCTCTTTATGACCCGGTTTAGGACAGTGATCACACCAGGGACGTCCTCGTTGTTTTCCTCTTAACCCATTAGCTCCAGACCCATTTCCTTTAATTAATGGGCTTACTTCATTTGGCCCATTTCCTTTGAAATTATAGGTACCCGGTCCAATTTTTATTTGGTTCGATCCAGTCCTTTTAATTACTTGGACTGACCCAATCGGCCCAGAGGCGTTAGAAATAAGGGTTGATCCATTTTCTTCTTCCTCAGAGCCTTCGATCCCGTCGTTCAACCTAATTTTCCGGCAGCTTTCTTCTCTGCGCACATCGGCAAAGACCTCTCGGAGTGATTGCAGCGGTCGACGACCCAAAATCCTCCCTCGCACATCATCCAGGTCCCGATTTAAGCCGGCCAAGAACTCATAGATTCTCTCGTTTTCCAGTTTCTTTTTGTATCTCACTGTATCGATCGGGCAATCCCACTTCTCTTCAGTGTTCTGATCGAGTTCTTGCCATAAGGAGCTCATTTCCAGAAAGTATTCGGTCACGTCCTTGTCTCTCTGTCTTGTCTGCCAAAGCTTCGTTTTGATTTCAAATAGTCCTCTGTGTCCGAGTACATGTCACGCACCTCATCCCATTCATTCTTTGCCGTGGGAAGAAATAGATATGCCTTTCCAACTGCGGGTTTCATGGAGTTGATTAACAACGCAATCACCAAAGAATTTTCCGATCTCCATCTTTGTAGTCGGGCGGCATTGGTTGAGGCTGGTTGCTGCTTCTCTCCGGTTAGATAGCTGAGTTTTCCTTTCCCATCAATAATCAACTTAATTGATTGGGCCCATTCTCTAAAGTTTTTACCGTTCAATTTTTCCACAGTAAGTTGAATGGAGGTGTTGTCCAATCTGCTCGAGCCCATGGATGCGAAGGATTTTACCTCGCTGATTTGAGGCTCCTATGTCGTTGACTGGCTATTCTCCTTCGAGACCGAGTGTTCTGCCATGAGCGGTGGACAACTTGGGTCCATCTTAATAAGGTCAACCTTGTTAAGAGGAGTGATCCAAGATCTTTTTAAGTTAGTCAATATTTTGGTATTTAATCGATGTAGGATTTTTATCCCTTAACATGTCCCCGCAAGATGGTGGCTCATTTGAGCCGACCAATCTTGCAATCCGTTGCTCATTAATTGAGACTTATAATCGGATCAAATCGTTCGTTGGAACTTAATGGGCTCTGATACTATGTGAATTAGGGCATAATAGGGAAGTGAAGATGATTCTTATTATTCCACACAAAGGTTACAATACGAGACCTCCTATAAATACTGTACAAAATCGAAAAAATAAGGTAACTACCTAAGTAAGGAAAAAATAAGATTTCATAATCTAAATATGGTTATACAACAATAAATCAATACACAATCAATCTCCCAATAATTACGGGATTTCTACCAAAAAAAAAAAAAACACACTCTTGATTTGTTAAAAGTAACGTGCTATGTAATGTGCAAATAGGAGATGTCCCTATCGACCTCGACTGCAAAACTGGATTGTCCAAGATGCATAAAGTATTTGATAAGTGTGGTGACAAACAGTGGCGTAGCTAGAACTTTAGTTTAATGTGGCACTATGGAAGGCAGCCATACTACAACGGTCCACGTAATGACAGTTGATGCTCTAGCTATATTTGACGAAGCTTAAATTATATTTTAAGTTGGTCAAACATCATTTTTAACTAAACACTTTGGGAACCACGACTTTTATTCGCTTTCATCCAGAGATTCCATGGAACCCAAAACTTATAATCTGCAAGAATCTATATTAAACATACACTTAAAGTAATATTTGAAGAAAATAATAAAGATGTGGCTTATAGGCTAATCTGAAACCAGAATTCGATTTGTACATACAAGAAAATTTAAAATTTTAATTTTCTTAATTCAAGTTATTGTCTAATTGATGTGTCCGTGTAACAGAATTCATGACTATTTCCTAAATTTGATGGAATATTTTAAGTTTCAAGGCTTCATATTCAGGGTCGGACCCAATGAACGCTCAATGCAGGCAGATGCTTGCACTGAGCTTTGGGCCAACCCCCATTTAAGAACATAAGTCCTTTCCCACAGCCCTTCTTCTCCCCCTCTGCCATAAATATTATACCATAAACAAAAGTATTGGTGCATTTTGACCTTCTACCCCCACCATAAACGCCAGCCAAAGAAAAATTCCTCTATACTTAGCAAACTATCTCTTTACCATCCACTTCTCTCCATTTTCCCTCATATTCTTCCCTATATATATTTGTTCTTTGTGCAAGTGCACTTTCTGTATGGTTACACAAGCTTACGTCCTCGTTTTCCCATTCTTCACTTGATCTTCATATACACACACACGTATCCTGTCTATCTATGATATAGCATTCTAAATTTTGAGGCATTTGGTGTACGTTCGTGCTTACGTCCTGAATTGACAGGTGAGTTGGGTTTCTCAATCTGTGATTTCTTGGCATTTTTTTTCTTGTTTAGATCAGCGTATATAATAATTTTTTTATGCTCCATATTTGAGCCTTTATAGCTGTGTTGTTTGGCTTGATAATGGAGAGTAATATTAATAATCTCTACAACATTGGCAGATGCCGATACAGAACTTTGTAATTTTGTTCTGAAGTTACTTTTTGAGCTTTACTATTATTGCCCGCACTGGAAAAATTTTCTGGGTCCACCCCTGTTCCATTCTCTTTGTATCTTAAGAGTGGTTTTGTTGTATAACAAGTAGGATGTAAATGATAGGATGAGTTTTAGGATTGCTTTCTATTTCTTTTTGTATTCTACAACTCTAGTATTTATACCAATGCACTAGTTTGTCAGACAAGACTGAATTGGTCTTTCATATTTTGTCTGTCTTTTGGTTCTCTTCTGCTCTCAAATACACATGAGCTGAAGTCTATGATGAACTTAATGAAGAATGACACTTGATCAATAAAATAATAAGGGTTCTAATGTTGTTGTTTGTTCAAATTACAGTACTATACATGATAAAGAAAGAAGAATGACGAGATGCCATCCTGATTAAGGACATTAAAGCAGAACCAGCAAACAAATACACAATTAAACAACCAGAAGAAGAAGAAGAAATAATAATAAACTAACTACACGTCAATTTTGAGTTATGAATGAAGCCAAAAAAGAAGAAATAACAAATTCATGAAAACTTAACTTTCAGGTTAACAATGAAGAGTGCGGCAAATTACTGTGAAAAATATGCTGAGAAATCTAATGATACAAGTAAAAGAATTTCCATAAATGAAAATCACCAAAACTAGTTGTAACAAAATTCCTTTTACCTGATGGACAGATTCATCTGTACTTATATCACCGTGCCTTTTTACCAACAGCGCCTCATGAACTAGCAGAGACTGGAACCACAACTCTTCATTACCTTGATCCTTCCAGTTGGAAGACTCGGGTATCTTCCCAATTGCAGGATCATCAGAATGTTTCGCAGTGTGGATGAGCCAATTTAACATTTCCGACACAGATTGAGATTCTCGTTTCCTCTTCTGAGAATCAAACACAGTCCCAACGACACTACCGGCTGACATCACAGCATCTTGGTCATTTTGGGTACTCAACCTTCCAACATCCTCAGTAATGTTACATGAAAGAACCTGCATATTACAAATGACTGTCTCAACCACCTTCTTAGCTGATGCCAGGTTACCATCATTGTCTAGGGCAGAGAATTTTTTATACTCATCATCAGCATTTTTTTGTGCATTTTTACGTACTTTTTCAATGACTTTCTCAACAACTTTCTTGGCCGATATCACGATGTTAGCATCATCTTCAAGACAAGAATTTCGATATCTGTAATCAATTTGTCCTTTAGAAAATCCATGTACTTCATTGACAACCTTTCTGACTATCCTCTTGGCTGCTGCAGCAAAATCATGGTTAATGCTTCTATCTGAATCATCATGCATTTCACAAATGACGTTTTCAACAACCCTCTGGGCTGAGGATGGAAGATTTTGGTCATCATTATTGCAAATTTTTTCATATTCATCACGACAGAAATGTTCCTTAACATCCACCCCCTCAGTTATTCTTCCTATCTCCAAAGAATGTAATTCACTTATACTGTTAACAGAATGGATGTCCTTTCCATTCTGAACATCATTTTCTATCTCTTCTTGTCTATCCGATGACAGAAGACAGAACCTTGTCTTCAACTCCTGACACAATAATTCTAATTTCTGAACAACGCCATTCTCTTCACCCTTCAGATCCCTATCTACAAAAACCTGTCGCAACCATTGATCCAACTCATTCAAATACTTCATATAAATCAACTTAAGGGACGGAATTGATCCACAGCTCAATCCACATTCCTCTACAACAAATCTCCAGAATTTATTCCTCGAAACAGCACTGTATCCACCTATTTTCCAAACTACCCAGAAGAGCTTAAACAAATCAATTGCTTGTCCATCATCGCACAAAGCCGGAAGAGGCCTAATGCATTTGCTGACAGACTTTTCTCTCATAAAAGCCACAAGTAGTTGATCAAACAAGCTCCTTAGCCTTTCCTTATATGCATCAAACCTACATTCCTCAATTGGAAAATCGAGATCAAAACCAAATCCAACTTTCCCCTTAGCATTTTCAACTTCGTGCAACAATGAATCATCTCTCAAATTTGAACATCCTTCCATTAACTTCAATTTTTTCTTCCCCCCCTTTGACAAATTTTCTGGGTTATTTTCTTTTTATTTTTCTTCCTTTCAGGGTATTGAATTATTGCACCAAAGAAATGAACAAAAACCTACATCAACCCATATAAAAAAAAAATAATAATACATAAATAAATAAATAAAAGGAATAACTAAATAAACCAAAGCTGATAAATCCCAGAAAAAAAAAATTAAAGAAGGCCATGCATACAATCTATACATAAAAACACAAACACTACTTTGCATGAAAAAAAGATATGTATATATGTAGGAATTCACCTCGGATGCATCGCACCAGCTCTATATATAATTCTATTTCCAGAAAACCCACCATTTCCCCCGGCAATAGCAATAGGGTGCGTGTATTTGAGTAAATACAGACAACAATTACCGATTAGACCATTTCTCCCATTTGTGCTTGGGATTTTGTTTCTTTAAGAATAATGGTCCGGATTATTACATACATATGCAGATTATAATCTGTAAATGATTAGTCCACAAGTACAAAATCAATTACTAAAAGTTTGACAAACCTGGCAAGTGGCGGTTTCCTGTTAGTGGGGCGGCTGGCCCCACCACCACTCCACCAATAGGGGGCCACCACTTGTCAGGTTTGTCATTGATTTTGTACATAATTTTGTACATATAGAATAATCCATTTGTAAATAGTCAAATATGAAATTAGTGAGTGGGGACAGGCGTCAAAATGGTTAGACAGTTCGCTATCCAACTCTTAAAAAAGGAATAAAGCCAAACATCCGCGAGGATGACCAAACCGATGATCGCACTCATGTGGATGCGGGGGTCATACGTGAATAAAGTAATGCCCGACCTCCGCTAGTGTGTGTATGCAATCATCCCGATAGTCGTGTAGCATGGTTGTAAAAAGAAAAAATTATATTATTTATAGTTGTTGACATTTTTTAAAAAAGGTTGAACCTCAATCTTGAGGATGCCATCACCCCGTCCCTGAAACATCGTGAATGAGGTAAATTGCGAGATGTGCTTTAACAAGTCAGGGAACAAGAGATTGTCTGTACGTTGGTGTCCACAAAGAGTCCAATTTCATATTTCAGCAATCAAACCCTCACACTGCGACTACTAGTAAGGTTGAGACTACCTCACTCTTTTTCTTTGCACCATTGGATTATGCCTCGAGGGACAAGTTGTTGACATTTTTGTTGACATACAATGACGTCTAAAATTTGAGTTATTGATTGTTTTATGTTTTTTAAAAGAAAATCGGATCGAAAAGTCGAGTAAGCTTATGGGTTGACGTGACATAATTAACGGGTCGAGTGGAACTTGACAATTCAACTCCACGACTCAAATGATCGGCCTGGTGCAGTTATAAACTAGGAAAAACAATATAAAATAGTAAAACTTATAAGTATGAGAATATTGAATTAATTGTTCCAATGATTACTGAACTTAAATCCATATATTTGATTGGTCATTGAAATTTAAAATATTGAGTTTTAATCATTGAATTTAGGTCTGTGTATTCGATTGGCCACTGAACTTTGAAAAATGTTGTACGTTACTCACTAGTAAAAATGTTGAATTTTGAAAATGTTGAGTTTACAGTAAGTAATGTACAACATTTTTCAAATTTTAGTAATCAAAACTCGATATTTTAAATTTCAATGAGCAATGAGGACATAAACTTAAGTTTAGTGACCAATAAAAAATATGGAACTAAGTTCAATAACTATTGGAACAATTAACTCGAGAATATTTCACAAGCCATTTTCGTGGTGTTTCTTTAGAATACTAGAGTGGATTATTGTGAATCATGAAACAAAATTAGGGAGTAAGTTCGATTATCAAAAATGATTAGATAGTTCGACCCATCTCTTCAAAAATCTAGATTACAACTAGCCCAGCTAAAATTTGAGCAAGTTTATGAATTGACATGACATAATAAATAGGTCATATTGGACTGGACAAGTTAACTCAACAGTTTAAGAGGACCAACTAGCTCGACTAGTAAATGGAAAAACAAAAATTTATAGAGAAAATCTTACAACTGTGAGAACATTTTACAAACCATCTTAATAATGGTGTAGTTTATTACATATTTATGCAGATTTTATCAACCTATATATACTATATAGCGAAGAATCAAATTAAGATGGTTGTGGAGAGGAACAGAGAATAGGAAAGTAAATTATTAGATTTTTGTGGAAAATGAGAAAACTAATTTATTATTGAAGACCTAAGAGTGGGGACAATGGGTTGGGTTGGACAGAAGTCCGGTCCAACCCATGTGCCGAGTCGGTCCTAATTTCAAAAGTAGGGCCCTAACCTACTCATGGGCCCATTCTCAAAAAATCATATTAATTATATATTGAGGAAATTAGGCCTACTACCTCAACATCAACAATATTATTACCGTATTAATTACTTCCAAAACATCAACAATAAAATCACCCAAAATAGAAATCCAAATCAGAGAGGAGAACTCTTTGAATCAGAAAATTCCAATACCCTAAACCCTCCCCCACTCCTCAACAGCAGTGATTTCCTATTCGAGAAACTTCATCCGACTCAACTTTTCGATCCGTCTTTGTCGACTCCTTTTCAACTCTCAACCACAGATTTCAAATGTTTTGGTATAGTATCTTGGCCATTTTTATGGAGTTATATTTTTTAGGAAAATGTGTAATTAGTATTTGCTTGATTCTTTATATTTCAAGGTTTTTTATGTCGAAGATTGAACAATGAATTGCTTGGGAGAAATAATATTACTTCGGTATATTTTGTGGAATTGAAGCGGAGGCATTTCTTTGTTTTTAAACTAAAAATGTTATAAGTATTTGGATTTGAATATAGTAGCTTCAAATTGTTGAAATGCTGTGTCTATGTTCCGTATCATTAATTGATGAAATTATTTTTGATTTTGAACTTCAACTGCTGGTTTTTTAAGTTGCTGAACATGGTGTCCCAGCTTACTGGCCAACATAAATTGGAGGGGTCATATTTACTCGTGGAAGATATGGGGAAAATTATTGGTGGAAGTGACGTGCAAATACTTCGTGGGGATTTATGTTATCAAGTTCAGCTCCTAGTGGCTAGACCTCTATGGTTGGATTTGGGAATGGCTTGATAAAGGATAGACGTTATAACGAGTGTTTATGAAATTTTGTGGCATTTACATCTTAGTTTAGTCATCAATTTTCGTTAGTTGTGAGCTTATTGCAAACTTGGTTGCATTTAAATTTTTCGATTATGATTATATCGTTCAAGTTCTTAATTCAAAAGTTTTTAATTTGTTCATTAGTTGTGAACTTATTGGATAAGTTGGCTTTATTGAAAATCGTGGGTTATGATTCGTCACTTTTTTTTTTTTTCAGTCACTTGTTTTTTATTTGTGTCACTTTTTTTTTTTTTAATTTCGTCACTTTTTGAATGTTGTCACTTTTTTTTTTTTTTTTTTTAATTTTCATCACTTTTTTAGTGAAAATGTAGTAATGTGAGGTACTGACAGGTGGAAAATTATATGAAATGTCAGGCGAACAAAATGGATGGTGTTTTTTTGGTATTTGTCACTTTTTTTTTTTTTTTTTGAGTTTGTCACTACTTTTTTTTTTATTAATATTTTGTCACCTTTTTTGAGTTTGTGTTACTTTTTTTAAATTGTGTTAAAAAAAAAAGTGACATTTTGTCACTTTTAAATGTACACTATTTTTTACTTCAAAAAAACTGTTTTTTTCTTTTTTTTTTTATAGATTTTGTCACTTTTTTTAGTTTGTCACCTTTTAGGTTTTTGTCAATTTTTGTTTATTTATTTTTTTTATTTGTCACTTTCTTATCTTCCTAAAAATGTGACATGATATGTGATAAGAACCGCCACTACGCTCACGTGAATTGTCTTGGACATGCTGATTAAAATAAGAACATGATTATTGGAGTTGCACAAATGAATGGGGTTATTATGATGTTTGTCACTTTTTTTTAGTTTGTCACTTTTTTGAATTGTGTTTAAAAAAAAGTGACACAATGTCAATTTTACAGAGTGTTTTTTTATTTTCAAAAACCTTTTCATATGATTTTTTAACACACCCTTAATTTTAAGGGTATTTTTGTAAGTTGCCCTTATATATTTTGTTGAAGGGGAAAATTTATATTTTAGGCTTTTAAGTATGGGCCAATTCAATTTTAAGAGAACAAGTTTACAATTTCAAAACTCAAGTGATTGATAAATAATTAAATATATTTAAATTAAATATATTAAGGTCACAATTATAAAATTTATGATCACGAATACGTAATTATGTATCACAACTTATTTATTAATCACATATTATTAAAATAATTGGTAACAAATTAGTTCTCGATCACAAATAATTTTTTTTTATAAATCACAATTTATTAATCGGTCACAAATCACCAATTTTATAGTTTACAATTTATTTCACGATCACAAATTATCAAATTAGTTAGTCGCAAGTTATTTCTCAGTAACAAATTTTCGAATTATTAGATCACATATTAAATTGTCAAACAACAAACACTCCAACCCACCCCTAATCCCACCATCGATACCAATACTTGGTCACAAATCAATCACATGGTTACAAACACCTAAATACTTAGTTAGAAACACACTTTATCCCGCTCCTATCCCAACTAAACACCATGCCACTGCCACAATTTGTGACCACCACCATCACCAGTACCACACCACTACCGCCACCTCTAGACCACCACGACAACCAGATCCACCACTTGCACTACCATAAAATCCCAATAACACCAAAACATGGAAACCACCACCACTACCACTAGCTGTGCCATAGGAGTCGATCACGCTATAGTGACACTGCACAAAGAAGTTGTTGCAATGCCCTTTCACTGTGCGAGGTCACCGCACGACACCACTGTATGTGACTTCTCTGCTGCAAGCGACAAGTGAGCGCTGTTGCGCAATTGCGCTCACAGCAAATTGCCGTTGTACAGTGGCGCTCAGAGGCAATTGCTATGAGCATCACGTCGCTACTCACAGTGACGAGCCCCACTGTTGTCTTCAGCGGCGACGACCGTCCGTGTGTGAAGAGATGGGTGCGGAAGAGAAAATAGAGGGAAAGAAGAGGGAGAAAATAATTTAGGATTTGAATGGGGTGGATGGGGTAAAGTAAGAGTATATAAATTAATTTATTATTATTATTACTACCTGATTTTTATATAAGTAAATTTAAAACTTTATTTTTGAAATTCAATCTTTAAATACATGTTTCCCTAAAATTTCCACTTTGTTAAAATACTCTTTTTCGGGTTTGTAATCGGGTAAGATTAAAGAGAGTTAAGATCTATTATTCCCTCTATCATTTCATTACTCAAGTTTTAATACCTCGCTACATAAACTCTTGCTAGCAATTATTAAATTTACTAATTATACTTTTTCAGCCGTGCCCTTCCAAATATTTGGTTTTGCCCCCATGTAACTTTGAAAACC